GCCTCCCGGGTTCAAGCGATTCTCCTGTCTCAGTCTCCTGAGTAGCTGGGACTACAGGCATGTGCCATCATGCCTGGCTAATTTTTTTTTTTTTTTTTTTTTTTTTTTTTTTATGAGACGGAGTTTTGCTCTTGTTACCCAGGCTGGAGTGCAATGGCGCGATCTCGGCTCACCGCAACCTCCGCCTCCTGGGTTCAGGCAATTCTCCTGCCTCAGCCTCCTGAGTAGCTGGGATTACAGGCATGCGCCACCATGCCCAGCTAATTTTTTGTATTTTTGGTAGAGACGGGGTTTCACCATGTTGACCAGGATGGTCTCGATCTCTTGACCTCGTGATCCACCCGCCTCGGCCTCCCAAAGTGCTGGGATTACAGGCTTGAGCCACCGCGCCCGGCTAATTTTTGTATTTTTAGTAGAGATGGGGTTTTACCATGTTGGCCAGGCTGGCCTCGAACACCTGATTTCAAATGATCCACCTGCCTCGGCCTCCCTAAACGCTGGGATTGCAGGCGGGAGCCACTGTGCCTGGTGTGGATTTCTGTGTACCAGATAAGCCTCACGAATTGGCTGGGTTGTGTGAGTGTCCACTCCTGAGGTCCCTTGGGCTGGGAGGGTAGGAGGTAATTCCCCAAAGGAAAATAAGGTGCTGTGGGCAGAAGGAGGGAATCCAGCCCGGGGTTGGGGGCCTCAACCTGCAGTCCATGGGAGGCACACAGGTCCTGGAATCCTGCAAACCTCGTGCTGACCCCAGTTCTGACTCTACAGGGCTGTGTGACTCCAAGAAAAGAATGTCGCACCCTCCAACCTCATTTGCGCCGCTATGAAGTGGGTGCCTGCCTAGCATCCCGGCAAGCAGCAAAGGGGCCTCATCTATTAACTAGGTGATTGACAGGAATCCATGCACGCACACTGTAGCCCTACTGTTCGCCCGGCACTGTCCACATCCCAGCGGAAACCTGTGACACTGGGGTCTGTGTCTATTTCACAGACAAGAAAACAGACACAGGCCCGGCCTGGTGGCTCAGGCCTGTCATCCCAGCACTTTGGGAGGTCCAGGCGGGTGGATCACCTGAGTTCAGACGTTCAAGACCTGCCTGGGCAGCATGGTGAAACCCCGTCTCTACTAAAAATACAAAAAATTAGCCAGGCATGGGGGTGCAGGCCTGTGATCCCAGCTACTTGTGAGGCTGAGGCACGAGAATCGCTTGAACCTGGGAGGCGGAGGCTGCAGTGAGCCAAGACGTTGCCACTGCACTCCAGCCTGGGCGACAAGAGCGAAATTCTGTCTCAAAAAAAAAGGAAAAGAAAAAAGATGCTGGGAGGCCGAGGCGGGCAGATCGCCTGAGGTCAGAAACCCGGTCTCTACTAAAAATACAAAAATTAACCGACCATAGTGGCGGGTGCCTGTCATCCCAGCTACTCGGGAAGCTGAGGCAGGAGAATCACTGGAACCCAGGGGGCGGAGGCTGCAGGGAGCCGAGATCGCACAACTGCACTCCAGCCTGGCTGGCAAAGCGAGACTCCATCTGAAAAAAACAAACAAACAGAAAAAAAGAGTTCCACATGGGTCTGGCTGGGGGAAGATCAAGGTACTGGCAGAGCTGCGTGCCTTCTGGCGGCTGCAGGGGAGAATCTGTTCCACGCCTTTCCCGGCTTCTAGAGGCCGCCACATTCCCTGGCTCCAGCTCCTTCCTTCGTTTCGAAATCCCCCAACAGCAGCCAAGTCCTTCTCTAGTCCTGTCTCTAACCACAGAGAGCAGGTGGTTTTTTTTTTGTTTGTTTGTTTGTTTTTTGAGATGGCTTTTCGCTCTTGTTGCCCAGGCTGGAGTGCAATGGCGTGATCTCGGCTCACCGCAACCTCCGCCTCCCGGGTTCAGGCAATTCTTCTGCCTCAGCCTCCCAAGTATCTGGGACTACAGGCGTGCACCACCACCCCTGGCTAATTTTGTATTTTTAGTAGAGATGGGGTTTCGCCATGTTGGTCAGGCTGGTCTTGAACTCCCGACCTCAGGTGATCTGCCCACCTTGACCTCCCAAAGTGCTGGGATGACAGGTGTGAGCCACCGCGCCCGGTCTGAGACGGAGTCTCACTGTCACCACGATCGTGCAACGGTACGATCTTGGATCGCTGCAACCTCCACCTCCCGGGTTCAAGCCATTCTCCTGCCTCAGCCTCCCAAGTAGCTGGGATTACAGGCACGTGCCACCAGGCCCAGGTATTTTTTATTGTATTTTCAGGAGACGGGGTTTCACCATGTTGACCAGGCTGGTTTCAAACCCCTGATCTCAAGCGATCTGCCCATCCAATGTGCTACGACCACAGGTGTGAGCCACTGCGCCTGGCCAGGCGTCTCCTCCTCCAAGGACCCTTTGAGGACGGTGGGCCACCCAGAGAACCCAGGATGATCTCCTGTCTGAAAGTCCTCAACTCAGTCCCATCTGCAGAGCGCTCGTGGCCAGGGAGGGTGGGACACCCAACACCCACGGGTTCCAGGGAGAGGACCCTGTGGTCTCTGGGGCTGTGTTCTGCTGACCAACCCCGATGGCACTGCCATCACTCATGGCGCAAGCCTCTGTGCCCAGCGCACACCCTGGCCGTTCCACGAGTCTCAGCGTCCACGTCCCTTTCCTCTGCAAAGTCTTCCTCAGTGTCCCTCAGGCTGGGTCATCCTCTGACACACAACAACATGGGATTCCCACTGTCTGTTTCCCTGTCGGGGTTTACCTCGAGGGAGATGGAAGCCTGGGGAGGTGAGCAGAGGCACGGGGTGCCATGGTGGGCATCTGAGCCAGGGAGAAGGCTTATGGCTGGGGGAAGAGGCGGACTGCAGCGGCCAGGCTGGGGGCTGGAAGTCCTAGGATGAACCTCAGGCCTGGACAGGCTGGAGAGAGGGGCAGAGGCGGGAGAGGGGAGGCTGCCCCAGAAAGGGGTCTCGGGAGGAGGGGGCACCCCACAAAGGGTCAGTGACCTTTTTGAGGTCACCCCGCACACAGCCTCTGGGTTAGGGAGGAAGACAGAGCCGGGAGCAGGAGGCCACTGGCTGCGAGCCTTGGTTTCCCCGGAGAGGCCGGAACCCACGTCAGCCAGACAATGACCCTTTGATTCGCACAGCCCAGGCCCGAGCGGCTGAGCTACAGCGGGGTCAGGTTTTGGCCGAGGTCACACTGTCCAGCCCTCACATACCCTCAGTGAGAACACAGGGTCCTGTCCCCCCTGCCCCACTCCCCAACTCGGGGAGAATCCCGGGGGAATGCCAGGGGGCCAAGGCCAGGGCAAGACAGCGGGGTGCCCTCCCTCAGTGCCACTAGGGCAGGAACTTGGCCCCTGGCCACTGACTGCTGGGGGACACAGTCTGGCTGGGCAGCTAAGGTCAGGGAAAGCGTGTCGGTGTGGCTTCTGTAGGCGCAGATCTCACTCATGCCAGGCAAAGAGGCTGTGCCCTGAGACTGCTGGACACCTCGGTTTCCATACCTGGTGGGGGGGGCAGTGCTGGAACAGTGGGCAACCAGATGAAGGCGTCCCCAGGAGATGCCCAAATGCTCGCCACCACATCAACCTTTTTTATTTTCCTGAAAGCATTTACCACTCTCTGAAGTTACAGATTAATCTGTCTCTGAGGCCGGGTGCGGTGGCTCACGCCTGTAATCCCAGCACCTTGGGAGGCCGAGAAGGGCGGATCACGAGGTCAGGAGATCGAGACTGGCTAACACGGTGAAACCCCGTCTCTACTAAAAATACAAAAAATTACCCGGGCCTGGTGGTGGACAACCGTAAGCCCAGCTACTCGGGAGGCTGAGGAAGGAGAATTGCTTGAACCCAGGAGACGGAGGTTGCAGTGAGCAGAGATCGGGCCATTGCACTCCAGCCTGGGCAACAGAGCGAGACTCCTGTCTCCAAAAAAAAAAAAAAAAAAAGATTAATTGTCTTCGTATTGTGTTGCCTATGGCTTCTCCAAACCGGGAGCTCGGTGAGTAAGTGACGGGGTCTGCCTTGGTCCCCGTGGTGGCACCCCAGCCCCCTGCAGCGTCCTTCCTGCCACCAGATGTTCACGTACGTTTCCCCAGAAGCAGGAGCACCGAGGGCCTTCGCAGAACCCTTGAGCTCGTCAAGGGCGCCCTGACATATCCGGAGGCCCCCAGGTCCGAAATCAGCTCCAAAGTGGGAAGTGCGCGTGGCTGCGCCAGAGCCCCCTCGGGCCAAGCGCCTCCAGGCCCACGCAGATGTCGCTGCCATAAATTGTGGGAAACGCCTCTGCTGGAAACAGCGTCTGCTGAATCTCAGAGGGAGAGGGAGAAAAAGCCAGTCAACATTCTTGTCGATGTGACCCGCGGGGACGCTGGCAAAGGCTCGGGGGCAGCGTGGCCCGAGGGCCCAGGGCAGAAGTCAGGCGGGCACACGCGCGCTCGCACCAAGGCCTCCCCGCGGGCCCGGGCTGGGCGAGGCCTGCTGTTGTCCACGACGCTGGGAGGGGCGGTCTCTGGTCTGTCCCAGCCGCACCCCGTCTGTCCCACACCCAGCCTCTCCCCACCCACCCCCACCCACACGCCGGCTGCAGCGGCCAGGTTCACGGGTGGGCGGCGTGCGTGTGAGCTGGACCCGCGTCCGGCTGAGGTTTTCGGGGCGTGGGGCGGGTCAGGCCCCCTTGGGAGGAGGCCGGGTTGGGGGCTCAGGGCCGTGAAAGTGACCACGTGGACATCACAGAAGAGGGGTGCAGGGGGGTCCCGCTGGCTAGCGGCCACCCCTGCAACGGAAGACCCGCAAACCCCCTGCGACCCCCGGCGGCGGCCCCTCCACCCACCCGAGAGGCCGCCGCCACCTCGAACTCACGGCCCCGTCCCGTCCCGTCTCCGCCCGGGAACGGCCGCGTCTCCCCAGATGCACTCCCCGGCTCCGGGAGGGGACCCGGCGCGCGCCCCCCGCGGCCCACCCCGCGCGGGACCCGGCCTCGCCCCCGCCACTCCCGCGCCGCGCCCCGCCCCGCGCCCCGCCCGCGGCCCCCGGGACCTTTATAGGGAGCGCCCGCCGCGCGCTGGGAAGTCGGTGCCGCCGCCGTCTCCGCGTCCGCCATGCGTCCCGGGGCGCCAGGGCCACTGTGGCCTCTGCCCTGGGGGGCCCTGGCTTGGGCCGTGGGCTTCGTGGGCTCCGTGGGCTCCCTGGGCTCGGACCCCGCGCCCGGTGAGTGGGGCGGCCGGAGGGGAGGGCGGGGCGGGCCGCCCACGTGGGGCTGCCCGGATTGCGGGTCGGGGGATGTGGGGGGCGCGGGCGGGGTCCAGCGCCTGAAGGGGGTCACCGGGAGGTCAGCGGAGTGCAGGGTTTCCCGCCACGACGACCCGGACAGGGACTGGGCGCTTAGCGTCCATCGCTTCCCTCCCTGAACCCCGACGACCCCATTAGTGCCGGGGGCGCTCTTCATCTCCGTCTTCCAGATGGGGAAACTGAGGCTCGGGGTCACACAGCTTGTAGGCGGCAAAGCCAGGACTCAAGCTGCGACCGTTTGGGTCGGTCCTGGCGTGTCTGGAGCCAGGCCCTCCGGAGTCCTGGGTAGACGGGACACGGAGACACAGCTCGGACTGGCTGGGAGGTGCCAGGCCGGAGACGGCCTCACTTCTGGCCTCAGTTTCCCCTCCTATGATGGGTGCCAAGTTCCCCAAGCTGGTTCCTTGCAGTGTTTGTGAACCAGCAAGTGCTCTGAGAAGGGGGCTGTGGCCATTTCTGCCCCCAGGGATGGGAGAAGAAACAGGGGTGGGGGGGCTCTCTGCCTCCCCACCCCCATCCCTGCAGCCCCACCCCACCCCAGCCCCACGCCAAAGGGAGAGCAGAGCCCCCTCCCCGAAGGCCACGTCCCTGGGGAGACAGTGAGCTCATGCGAGGGGAATGTTCCCAACTTGGAGTGAGTAAGAGGCGGGCCGGCGGTGGGGGGGGGGCTGCCAGGCGCGGGGCTCCCGAGTGCCTTCGTCCTCGGGTGCTGTCTAGACAGAGGGCAGAGGTGGGAGAAGCGGCTCCCGGCCCGCTGACCCTGACATGCCCAGTGCCTGGTGTTTGGTGGTGTTTGAGGGGTTGGGCAGGGTGCCAGTCCCCGGTCTGGGGGCTTGGAGGGAAAGGGGAGGGCCTCCAGGGATGGGTGGGGGTTGGTGGTGAGGCTGCAGGGGGCCTCGGAGCTCAGAGGGGAGGGGGGATCTCCAGGATCCAGAGCCAGGGTGGGGACACCCACGTGCTTTCCTGTCCCTTCTTCCTGGGCTGGGGTAGATCATCCCTGCGTAACTACTGAGCACCACCTGCATGCATCTGTGGGGGGGCCGGAGGCTGGGTGTCAGGAGTGGCGTAGGAGAGCACCCCGTCCCTGTGCCCGCAGCTGGGGTCTGCTGGCTGCAGCAAGGCCAGGAGGCCACCTGCAGCCTGGTGCTCCAGACCAACGTCACCCGGGCCGAGTGCTGTGCCTCCAGCAACATCAACACCGCCTGGTCCAACGTCACCCACACGGGGAACAAGATCAACCTCCTTGGCTTCCTGGGACTTGCCCACTGCCTCCCCTGCAAAGGTGAGACCCTGGGCACTGACCCCAAGCCCGAAGCAGGGTGGGCATCTCAGCTCAGGATCAGCCAGCAACAGTCAAGGTGGTCGAGGGCAGGACATCCAAGAGTGAGCTATGCAGGAGGTATGCAGGAGGCTGCAGGGGGGATCCCAGCCTCAGCAAGGGATTGGGGGGACTTCCCAGGTCCCATATTTCAGCCCCTGGCAGCTCAGGACTCAGGAAGAGGCTCTGAGGACTCCCCAGTTGACTCCAGCCTTTGCTGGGGCTGAGCTCTCTGCCCAGGTGGCTCTTCCTACCTGGTTGACAGAGGCCTGCTTACAGCTCCTGGGAAGGTGGGTTTGCCATTTTGGCCTGTGACCCCAAATGTCCATACCGGGGCCCTTCACTGCAGGCTCCAGGGTCTGTGGTGGGGTCATGGCTGCGTGTTTAATGAGCATTTGCTGTTCTGAGATGATGCCTCTCATATAAGACTCGGGCTCTTGGTGGGTGGCACAGAACAAATGAGTTAAGATCCACTCTCGGCCCGGCGCGGTGGCTCAAGCCTGTAATCACAGCACTTTGGGAGGCCGAGGCGGGTGGATCACAAGGTCAAGAGATCGAGACCATCCTGGTCAACATGGTGAAACCCCGTCTCTACTAAAAATACAAAAAATTCACTGGGCATGGTGGCGCACGCCTGTAATCCCAGCTACTCAGGAGGCTGAGGCAGGAGAATTGCCTGAACCCAGGAGGCGGAGGTCGGTGAGCCGAGATCGCGCCATTGCACTCCAGCCTGGGTAACAAGAGCGAAACTCTGTCTCAAAAAAAAAAAAAAAAAAAAAAAAAAAAAAAAAAAAAAAGATCCACTCTCTGAACTGGAGGATGATGGTTTTTTCCCCCCGGAGACAGAGCTTCCCTCTTGTGGCCCAGGTTGGAGCGCAGTGGTGCAATCTCGGCTCACCACAACCTCCACCTCCCAGGTTCAAGCGATTCTCCTGCCTCAGCCTCCCGAGTAGCCGGGATTGCAGGCATGCACCAACATGCCCGGCTAATTTTGTATTTTTAGTAGAGAGAGGGTTTATCCATGTTGGTCAGGCTGGTCTGGATCTCCCAACCTCAGGTGATCCACCCGCCTCGGCCTCCTGAAGTGCTGGGATTACAGGCGTTAGCCACCGCGCCTGGCCCCCCTTTTTTTGAGATGAAGTCTCGCTCTGTCACCCCCAGTCTACAGTGCAGTGGCGGGATCTCGGCTCACTGCAACCTTCACCTCCCGGGTTCAAGCGATTCTCCTTCCTTGGACTCCCCAGTTCTGGGACTTTGGGCATCCCCGCCACCATGCCCGACTAATTTTTGTATTTTTGGTAGAGACAGGGGTTCACCACATTGGCCAGGCTGTTCTCAAACTCCTGACCTCAAGTGATCTGCCAGCCTTGACCTCCCAAAGTGCTGGGATTACTGGCATGTGCCACAGTGCTCAGCCCGTTGGGGCACTACCTGAAGAAGGTGGGCATTACAGGGGGATGATTAGGAATTAGCCAGATGGAGCTGGTATGGGAGAGGGGATCAGGAGAGACCATGGCTTAAGACTAGGTCCTGGTGGGTGGGGTCAGGCTGGAGCTGAGGGCTGAAGACAGGCAGGCCAGGATGAGAAACCCTGCTGGCTTCTGAGATGTGATTAATCCCACATCAGCCTGGCTGGGTGGTCCTGAACTCACTGCCACACACTCCTGCTCCCTCCAGACCCCCCTCTGGCTTCTGGGAGGACAGACTTCAAAAAGTGCCTGGCCTGGGCGTAAGATGGCCTAGGACTCCTCCACCCCCAACCTCATCCGGCCCGGCCCCGGGGATGGGAGCTCAGGCCCCCTTCTGTTCTTGCTTGCATGAAACCACCCTGGAAGAGCATTTCCAGATGTGCCTGTGAGCCACTGTGTGTGGGGGCACCCAGGTGCGGCCCACATGCCCTGTCGGGTCCGCGTGGGGGGCGCCGACAATCCTCTAAGTGGGACTCACTCCCCCGTCAGCCCCGCTTTACACACAGAGAAACTGAGGCTGGCACACAACTCAAAAGCTGTGTTCAGAGGCCCCCACCAGAAGGGGGTCGGTCATCTGGGTCCTGGCTGCAGCTTTCAAGCTGAGGTGCTTGGTCCCCTGCACTCACATCTGCGACCAGGCCTCAGTTTCCCCATCTGTAAAATGACGACTTGGGAGGATGCAAGGAGCGTGGGAGGCGGTGGGCAGCGTATTAAAAGCGGGGGCGGGGACCCCAGTATCCCTGCCTGAGCACTGGGGTGCGGGGAAACTCCTGGTTCGGAGGCCTAGGGCTGCGGAGGGCCCCCTCCCCTGGAAACGCGCCCCAGGCCAGGAGGGGCGCTCAGCGCCCCGCCCTCCGCGACGCCTCCTGGGGGACGGTCCTGGCAGCCCCAGACCCGCGCCTGGCGAGGACGGAGCAACCCCCTCCGGCCTTCCCAGAAGCGCGCGCGCATCGGCACAGACGCCAGCCAGCGGCGAGGGGGCGCGGCCCTGGGCCGTGCAGCTCGGCCGGACCCCGATTCTCGGCGGGGACCCCGGCCCCGCCCCTCTCCCCACCCCAGCGCAGGCGCCCCCGGGAGCCCGCGCGCCCGGACTCCGACCGACCCCGACCCGGGACGGCGTCCCCGTCTCCGGCCGGCAGGGGGCGCGCGGGGACGGGGCCCCGAGAACTCCGCGCGGCCCCGCGCCCAGTCCCACGCGCGTCTCCTGTGTCCGCAGATTCGTGCGACGGGGTGGAGTGCGGCCCGGGCAAGGCGTGCCGCCTGCTGGGGGGCCGCCCGCGCTGCGAGTGCACCCCCGACTGCGCGGGGCTCCCGGCGCGCCTGCAGGTCTGCGGCTCGGACGGCGCCACCTACCGCGACGAGTGCGAACTGCGCGCCGCGCGCTGCCGCGGCCACCCGGACCTGCGCGTCATGTACCGGGGCCGCTGCCGCAGTACGTGGGGGCGGGGGCGGGGGCGGGGCCGGGGCGGGGCCGCCGGGCCTGCGCGTCGCGTCCCCGGGCTGCCGCCGCAGTGCGCGGGGGCGGGGCCGGCTGGAGGGGCGTGGCCTCTGGCCGAGGGCAGGCCACGTGGGTTGGGGTGGGGCCTGATTAAGGATGAAGGGCGCTTTTATGCTTCCGAGGGGCCTCTGGGGCTCACGTTGGGCAGGAGAAACGTGGTATGATTAGAGTGGGAGCATGACTCAGAGAAGGGCTCGTGGGGGAAACCGGAGAGGCCAGATGGAACCGCGGGTGAGGCTGTAAGGGGCGGGGCTCTTGGCAGGGGCGTGGTTCCTGGGTGGAGACGGGCGGTGTCTGTGGGTGGAGCTTTAGTGGGCGGGGCTCGAGGAGGGCGGGCTTTTGGGTGACGCAAGGGGCAGGGCTCATGAAAGAGGTGTGGCTCCTGCGTTCAACGGGAGGGGGCAGCGCTTGTGGGTGAAGGCTGATGTGTGGGCGGAGCTGGTTGGAGGGGCGGGGCTTTGTGGTTGATAAGGGGTGGAGCTTATGGCTAACGTGCTACAGTAGATGGGCCTTCTGGAAGGGGAGTGACGCCTGGGTACGATCGAGGGGCGGGGCTTGTTGCTAACAAGGGGCTGGGACTCCTGGGTACAATGGGTGGAGCCTGTTGTGGGCGGGGCTTTGTCGGTGGTGAGCGGGTGGGGCCTATGGCTAATGCAAGGGATGGGGCTTCTGGAAGGGGAGTGACTCCTGGGTACAATCGGGGGCGGGGCTCTTGAAAGGGGTGTGGCTCCTGAGTACAACCGGAGGGGCAGGGCTTGTGGGTGGAGCCCGAGGGGGTCGGGTGGCGTGGGGCGGGGCTGCTTACGGAAGAGCGGGGCTTGTGTCTCCCACCAGAGGGTTCTTGAAACTTGAGGGTCAAGGGCTGGTCTTGGGGCCAACAGCCCTTCGGGGTTCTCAGCGAGATGCCCCCCGAACCGCCCCTGGCACTTGGCCTGCAGAGTCCTGTGATCGTGTGGTGTGCTCACGGCCGCAGTCGTGCGTCGTGGACCAGACTGGCAGTGCCCACTGCGTGGTGTGTCGGGCGGCACCCTGCCCTGTGCCTGCCGGCCCCGGCCAGGAGCTCTGTGGCAACAACAACGTCACCTACATCTCCTCGTGCCACCTGCGCCAGGCCACCTGCTTTCTGGGCCGCTCCATCGGCGTGCGCCACTCGGGCAGCTGCACAGGTGCAGACGCAGGGCGGGGGAGACAGGCCTGTCCTGGGGAACAGAGAGCCCCCTGCCCTGCGCCCTCATTGCTCTTATTGACACTTGCAGGTACCTTTGTAGGCACCCCTCAGGAGCCCCCAGATGGTGAATCGGAGGAGGAGGAAGAGAACTTCGTGTGAGCCTGCAGGACAGGCCTGGGCCTGGCGCCCAAGGCCCCCCACCACCCCCTGTTATTTATTGCCACAGCAGAGTCTAATTTATATCCCACGGACACTCCCTAAACCTGGATTCAGACCACTTGGGGATCCCAAAACCCCCTGACGATATCCTGGAAGGATTGAGGAATGGAGGCCTGGGGCCAGCTGGTGGGTGGGATGGACCTTCGTCCCAGGCACTGAGGGCTCGATTAAACCCCTATCCTGAGTCCTATTGCCAGGGAGGACCCCACACTTCTGCTCCTTTGGGGATAAACCTATTAATTACTGCTACCTTCAAGAGGGCTGGGCATTCCCTACTGGTAATTCCTGAAGAGGCATGACTGCTTTTCTCAGCCCCAAGCCTCCTAGAACAGGGGCCTTGGGCTCGGGCCAGGAGGGGCAGAGGAGATTAGCCTGGGTGTGAATGGATGGTCTAGCCTGGGTGAGTGCAGATGGTCTAGCTTGAGTGTGAATGAATGGTCTAGCCTGGGTATGAAAGGATGATCTAGCCTGGGTGAGTGCAGATGGTCTAACTTGAGTGTGAATGAATGGTCTAGCTTGGGTGTGAATGAATGGTCTAGCTTGAGTGTGAATGAATGGTCTAGCCTGGGTGTGAACAGGTGGTCTAGCTTGGGTGTGAATGGATGGTCTAGTCTGGGTGAGTACAGATGGTCTAGCTTGAGTGTGAATGAATGGTCTAGCCTGGGTGTGAATGAATGGTCTAGTCTGGATGTGTACAGATGGTCTAGCCTGGGTGTGAACAGATGGTCTAGCCTGGGTGAATACAGATGGTCTAGCCTGAGTGTGAATGAATGGTCAAGCCTGGATGTGTACAGATAGTCTAGCCTGGGTGGGTACAGATAGTCTAACTTGAGTGAATACAGATGGTCTGGCCTGGGTGTGTATGGATGGTCTGGACAGGGTGTGAATGGATGGTCTAACTTAAGTGAATACAGATGGTGTAGCCTGGGTGTGAATGGATGGTCTAGCCTGGGTGTGTACGGATGGTCTGGACTGGATGTGTATAGATGGTCTGGACTGGGTGTGAACAGATGGTCTAACCTAAGTGAATACAGATGATCTAGCCTGGGTGTGTATGGACAGTCTAGCCTGGGTGTGAATGGACGGTCTAGCCTGGGTGTGAATGGATGGTCTAACCTGGGTGTGAATGGACGGTCTAACCTGGGTGTGAATGGACGGTCTGGCCTGGGTGTGTGTGGACGGTCTGGCCTGGGTGTGAGTGGACGGTCTGGCCTGGGTGTGTGTGGACGGTCTGGCCTGGGTGTGAGTGGACGGTCTGGCCTGGGTGTGTGTGGACGGTCTGGCCTGGGTGTGAGTGGACGGTGTGGCCTGGGTGTGAGTGGACGGTCTGGCCTGGGTGTGTGTGGACGGTGTGTCCTGGGTGTGAGTGGACGGTCTAGCCTGGGTGTGAGTGGATGGTCTAGCCTGGGTGTGTGTGGATGGTCTGGCCTGGGTGTGAATGGATGGTCTAGCCTGGGTGTGAGTGGATGGTCTAGCCTGGGTGTGTGGACGGTCTAGCCTGGGTGTGAATGGACGGTCTAGCCTGGGTGTGTACGGATGGACCTCAGAACATTGTGGCCTTGCCCAGCAGGAGAGACCCTTCATGAAGGCCAGGAAGGCTGCCACTGTCCCCTCCTCCCAGCCCTTGAACTCCAACTTCCCCTCTGCCTCTGTGTGCCCCTTTGCGTACTGTGAAGGCCACTGAGAAACACCCAGCGTGCTCCTGACACGGGCCATGCTCAGCCAC